AGGGAGAGGCCATGATGGGAGGAGGTGGGTTGCACAAAGGAGTCTGTGAGACAGAGTGAACGTTGACTGGCCTGAATAAGGCCGGCAGATAATTGGACTAAAAAAAAAAAAAAAAAGCCCAAAGGCCACGAGATGAAGGATGTATTTGGTCATACATGATGAGCACAGCAGGAGACGGAGCTTTCTGGAGCACTTTGATGACAGAGCCAATCCATATCCCAGATCCAGAAGGCTTTTTCTGCCAGCTGGGAATGAATCCCTGGAAAGCTCACTAACATTTGTGCATCTTTGTGATCGCCTCACTCTTCCCAGGGTTAACCCAGGGCATTTGTGCTGTGTGCATCTTTTTGAGCAGTGTATGGATCAGCATGTTACAGACCCCAGAGAGAAGCCTCCTTTACCATCAGCACCTCAAATGTTGACGGGACCTTAATTCCCACAGGAACATCAGGACAATCACACTTAACCTGAGGCATCCCAGCACATCTGAGGGCCTTTTTGCATTTGCTTCTTTCACTGAGCAGCTCATCATGCAAAGCTCCATAACTGCAGTACCATTAGCTGGACAGGGAGGATCACAAAAGACATAAAGAAGAACCAGTAATCAAACTGGAACAAGGCGGTGGATCCCGCTGACGTGGTGGAAACCTTCTTCCTCGAGTTAAAGTCAGGATTCTCTGTGCCATGACTCATAGTTCATCAAATCTCTGCTTAAAGTTTTCCTCTGATACAGACTTTATAAATCAGGTTATTTTTTGCATCAATAAATCATTGGCCTGAAACATTTTCACTGCAAGATGGCACTAAGAGACAAACAGTCTCCCCAGCTCCCTCCATCAGAGGGCGCCATTGATCTGTACACTTCCCCCCGACTGGTAGTTGTTACATGCGCTGTGTTCAGAGCCATGGTGGCTTAAGTATTCTTTATAACTGCACCGAGCGGTTACACGTGACCAACAACCTGTGTGAACCTCTGAGCTGCTCACTCTGAAAGACCAGCTTAGACTTTCTGCTTCACAAACTCAAGGCTGAGAGAGAAGCTACCTCAACAAGACCCAACAAAGAGATGCATGAATCCCTGTAATAATTCACAGTCACGTGCCTTAAACCACATGAGTCATACGCTAGAAACAAAATGGTATTCTAAGGTCTAAGACTTTCCAAAAAAGAAGCAAAGTTAGGACAACTTACTGTCCTCTGAGGAAAACAGGAACAAACCCAGGTTTCCTTTCAGCTCTGAAGCCAGACTGGCAAACAGAGTTCTGGTGAATATTTCCTTACCACTGTCCTCCCAACCTGTCCATGAATAATAGTTTTCCACAATAACTGGGCATGGTGATGTGACCGTACAGTCATACAATCAGGTGGCTTAAACACATGGAGAGGAGATTCAAAAATCCCTCCTTCAGTCATATCTGAGTTTTTACTTCTATACTGAAGCAAGTAAAGGTCTAAGCCTGTGCAGAAAGTATAATCCACAATGTAGATGCTTCCCTTTGGTACTATTACTAGAAAACCTGATACTGATTGCTACGCAGATGATACTCAGTTACATTTATCTGTGAAATCACATGACAAACAGATGGCTACCCCTCAGAGTTTTTGTGTTCTTGTTGGAGGTCAGGTTTAGGGTTCCTGCCAATTATGTACCTGCTATTTAAGAAGCAAACTCAGTCTGATGGAGAAGTCTGGGTTCAATAGTCAACAGTACTTGTCTGACTGCACTGTGCCATGGTGTGGGGGTGTTTTGCAGTAGCTGGGCTCAGCCTCTCAGAGCCAGTGAAAGGAACTCTCAATGCTTCAGCATAAGAAGACTTTATGGACAATTTCATGCTCCCAAATTTGTGGGAACAGTTTGGGGATGTCCCCTTCCTGTTCCAACATGACTGCACACCAGCAGCCTGACAGAACGGATGGATGGATGATGGGTATATGGGATGATGAATGGATGGATGCCTAGGTTGACGGATGGACCTTTGGAATGAATTAGCCAGGCCTTCTCGTCCAACATCAGGGTGACCAATCCTGTGGAAAGACTTCCCAGAAGATTTGCAGCTGTTATCGCTGCAAGAGGGGGGCTGACATCATATTAAACCTATGGATGGATTAAGAATGGGAATGCCACTCAAGCTGATATCCGTGTGAAGCCAGCTGAGCCAATCCTTTTGTCAATATACTGAACAACAGCACAGACGCTAAACTAGTGATATCAGGTAAGGTTGCTAAGCAGGAGAGGACGGCAAAACAAACAGAGGCGTTGACTGACTCAAGTCCAGAAGCCCCAAACAAACACCAAAAGCATCAAAGCCTGAGACCACAAGCACGCAAACAAAGGAGCTAAATCCATACTTCAAAGAATGAGCGGAGAACTACAGGCACAGGTTCATAATCAGAAAGACTGGAGGTGACAGCAAGGCACACAGGAAAACCAGAAAATGAAGAAAAACAGGATAAAACTACAAAAATCTGACAAAAAGTCAAAAACATCAAAGACAATTAAAACCTGAACCACATTTAAATCTGGTTCTTTCAATAAAATCAGCAAGTTTTCAACCCAATCACTTCCTGTATGAGGAGTAACAGGACCCCAGGTCAATAAGATATCTGGAATATTTGGAAATGAGAAACAGGGAGAAGAAAGCTTCCGGCGGGAGAACAGAGGACTGATTAAGAGAATAAACAGAAATCAAATATCAGCTGTTTATCAGCTGATCAGACCCCAAACACATGTTTGGAACCGTTTTGGTTCTTGGCCCCGCTGCGACCCTTTGTTGGTCGCGCTCGGAGTGATTTCATTTTCTGACTCGGGGAAGTGACGGGGAATACCAGCTGAGAGCGGGGAGAAGGAGCAGCTGTGAATCACGAGGCTCGACCGCCGCTCTCCGCTGGGCGCCACAGAGCGCACTCACAGCACAGTGACTGTCTCACCTGTCTGTGCACGGCAACATCACAGAACATCCCTCAGCTTATATGTAAGTACGACAGATTATTGAAACCTCAGTCTCTCTCCACCACCATCACCTGTACATAAAAGATGGCCCTCGCTCCGTCTCATCTCCCATTAGCTTGTTTTATTTGGCTGAAAGCTCAGAGCTGAGGAGGCATCAGCCAATGCTAGTGCTGGTCACGGGCATGCCTCTAATATTTGGTAAACGTTCCTCAGAAAGGCACGCCTCAGCGTCGTCAGGCTTCTGGCATAATTCTGGTTAAATTCACCTCAGGCTGCACGGACTACTTTTTCAGGTCTGTCCCGTGTACTCCATACATTCCTGACAGAGCAAGAGCAGTTCAAACACATATCACATCAAACACAGAGAAAGACTCAGCTCAGACTTGTTGGACGGTCTGTTAACCAAACGTAGAGTCTGTGGGGACTGACACACTGCTGGAGCCTCTGCTGGACGTCAGAGGAACTGCAGGTTGCAGCTTAGTTACGCTCCATGTTCGCCGAAAGTGTCGTCCAATCTCCTTCAGGCAACCTTTGGCACTGACTCAGGGAGAATAGGAAACTCAGGCGCACAGAAGCATTTGCCAGTAGCTGAGAGAAAATTAGCCCAGATTATTCCCAGATATGTCTGCTGTCTAAAATCATCACATTCAACTTTCAGCCGTTAAATCTGTAGAGCACGCCACCATTTCTGCAGATGTGTTAACAGACCTCTCTGCATTGAATCATACCTGTTATTAATCTCTGTCTCTCTTCCACAGCATGTCTTTATCCTGTCTTCCTTCTCTCAACCAATCACAGCAGATGGCCCCGCCCCTCCCTGAACCTGGTCCTGCTGGAGGTTTCTTCCTGTTAAAAGGGAGTTTTTCCTTCCCACTCTCTCTCAAAGTGCTTGCTCAAAGGGGGTCATATGATTGTTGGGTTTTTCTCTGTGTCTATTATTGTACGATCTACTGTACGATATAAAGCACCTTGAGGCGACTGTTGTTGCAATTTGGCGCTGTGTAAATAAAATTGAACTCCCCAAGGTCATTGTTGGGAAAGCTACAAGATCAGCCATCCTTTTTCCATGTGACAGTATGAGCAAATAAACACAGAATTAGAAGTGGTTCATCTCGGAGGGATTTAGTAGCTGAACTTTACATGAATCAGGTCATTTCACCCGAGGAAAGTGCAGCTTTGGTCGAGCTTTCACGTACCTGTCCAACATTTCTGCCACGGGAACAGAACCGGCTGCAGTTTATCAGCGACACTCAAGCTTTTCTTCATGACGTGGAAAAGACCAAAGAAAAGCTCTGCAGCAGAGCAAACGCCTGTAAGTGAAAAATCACTCGTTTCATGTTTTTACACTGTTGGGCAACAGTGCACCATAGAAACGCAGGGGCGTGAGTTTGAGTCCGCACAGAGGCTCCTTGCTGCTGTAAACAGGCTGTTAACATGGGACTCTATGGGGACTGACTCACTGCTGGACGTCACAGGAACTGCGTCATCAAACATGTGAAACGAGGGTTTGGAACGAGAAGATGTTGTACACAGTAACATGGAGCGAGTTTGGTTTTTTTCAGGAGTTTATTTAGTTTCTGATTGTAAACACAGCTGCACAACAAGCTTATATACAAAGGTTAACAGAGGTCAGCAGATGGGCGGGGCGATTCAGAGCAGGAAGTCAAACCACACGACTGATGCTTCTTTGATTATAATTACTGTTTGATTTGTCCTGCTGATACATGCCACAGATTCGGTTTCTACATCACCATGTGGGCGGAGCATAAGCTGCAGATGGAGGCAAGACAGACCCATAAAGAAAGCAAGAGTTACCAGAACAGAGATTCTATAAGAACCATAAATGGAAGAAAAAAAAACAAAAACGTGCTGTTACAGTAAAACGAAGATTAAATGAAAGCGACACAGAGGCCGCCGCCTGCAGAGATGTCATGCTTGTAGCCAGGTGCGCTCACGTAATGAACTGCTTCCTCTTTGATTAATGCTAGCACCTGCAAGCTACCTGTGAAAGTTAAAGTGATGCGTGATGGCGCGCAGAGTCGAGCTGTGTGGCGAGGGTTAAGACGACGGTAGCGGCTGAAGGAGGAAAGTTTCAGTCAGCACCAGCAGGATTTCCTGTCTGCCTGAACCAGGATCAGCAGCTGCAAACGGCGACGCTCCAGCAGGACTCGTTCCTTCTGCGTGAGGGGCGTGGCTCAGCAGTTCAGTCTTTTTCAGTGTTTGTGTTTAAAAAGAGGCGCTCGTTTCACAGTGACTGGCGGAAAAAAGGCACGCCACACATTTCCCACGGACCCGTCTCCTCTTCGCTCAGACGCACACGTCCACGACGCCCTCGTCTGCGACCTCGGGCTGGCTCTTGACGTGGGCCGTCATCTCCCGCAGGTTCACCCGCTCAGGGTCCAACAAACCCTTAAAGCTGTCATCGCTCCCCATGTGGTTGTGGCGAACGGCGCTGAGATGCTTCAGGGCAGAGCTTGAGGAGCCGCCGCCAGAGGAGTAGACGCCGGAGTCGCCGCTGCTGCTGCTGTCCTGCCGGCTGTGCCGGACGCTGCAAACACAGAGACACGGTTTAGCTGGCGTTGCCGGATCTGCCATCATGAACGCTCTCTAATGAACACGCCAACACTGACCTGCTGTTCGGCTCCAGGCCCGAGGGGGGCGCTGCCAGCTCCTCGGCAGGAGGGATGTGGATTTCCAGGACGGCGGGCAGTGGACAGATGGTCACACCTTCACACAGCAGCTCAGACTCAGAGTCCGGGGTGAGGAGGCGAGGGATGTCGGAGCCCGGAGAGCTGCAGAGGTACTGCAGGAGGACAGAGGAGAGAAGAAGAAGAGCTGCTGATGATGCGCACATCACAGAGAAACGCCCCGATCACACCTCATCATAAGTGTTCCAGTTCATGGTTTAAACAGATCAATCAGGTGAACACCACCCACTCATCAACTGCAAGCTACCTTCTTCAGGTGGGAGGGCATCTGGTCGGACGGCTTCAGAACATCCTTCATGGTCTTGCAGCACCTGAATAAACCGTAAATGGTTCCCAGCACGATCAGGAAGAAGAACAGCAGCGAGCCCAGGAAGTACAGGAAGATGTTCCACCAGGGGATCGAACCTGGAAACAAACCGACGCCATTAGATGGAGGAGCTCCGCCTTCAGAGTCACAGCTGTCACCATGAAGATGGTGGCAGACCATGTGACCACCCTCTCAGACCCTCAGAGAACTTCACTTATCACCTCTGCAGGCTGTGATTGGACGAGTTTACACTCTGACACCTGATTGGTTCTCCTCTGATGTGTCCCTGCGTGGAGGCTGTGCTGGTATCGGTTTTAATTTCTACATCAATTCGATTCAATTTAGACTCCGACAGAAACTGGTCTCTGAGTGCAGAGAGAGAGAGGGAGAGAGAGGGCGAGAGGGAGAAAGAGAGGGAGGGAGGGAGAGCGAGAGAGAGAGGGCGAGCGAGGGAGAGAGAGAGGGCGAGAGAGGGCGAGCGAGCGAGAGAGAGAGAGGGCGAGAGAGAGCGAGCAAGAGAGAGAGAGAAAGAGAGAGACAGGGCGAGAGGGAGAGAGAGAGCGAGGGAGAGAGCGAGGGCGAGAGAGAGAGGGTGAGAGAGAGAGGGTGAGAGGGAGAGAGAGAGCGAGCGAGAGGGTGAGAGAGAGAGACAGGACGAGAGAGAGAGAGTGAGCGAGAGAGGGCGAGAGAGAGAGATAGCAAGAGAGAGACAGGGCGAGAGAGGGTGAGGGCGAGCGAGCGAGGGCGAGCGAGCGAGGGCGAGAGGGCGAAAGAGAGAAACAGGGCGAGAGAGAGGGCGAGAGAGAGCGAGCGAGAGAGAGAGAGCAAGCAAGAGAGAGAGAGAAAGAGAGTCAGGGTGAGACAGGGCGAGAAAGAGGGCGAGAGAGAGAGCGAGCAAGAGAGAGAGAAAGAGAGCGACAGGGCGAGCGAGCGAGGGCGAGCGAGCGGGCGAGAGAGAGCGAAAGAGAGAAACAGGGCGAGAGAGAGAGAAAGAGAGAGCAAGCAAGAGAGAGAGAGAAAGAGAGAGCGAGAGAGAGCGAGAGAGAGAGAAAGAGAGCGAGAGAGAGAGAAAGAGAGAGCGAGAGAGAGAGAGAAAGAGAGAGCGAGAGAGAGAGAGAAAGAGAGAGCGAGAGAGAGCGAGAAAGAGAGAGCGAGAGAGAGCGAGAGAGAGCGAGAGAGAGAGCGAGAGAGAGAGAGAAAGAGAGAGAGAAAGAGAGAGTCAGGGTGAGACAGGGCGAGAGAGAGAGAAAGAGAGAGAGAAAGAGAGAGACAGGGTGAGACAGGGCAAGAGAGAGAGAAAGAGAGAGACAGGGCGAGCGGGAGAGAGAGGGCGAGAGGGAGAAAGAGAGAGCGAGAGAGAGAGGGAGCGAGAGAGGGCGAGAGAGAGAAAGAGAGGGAGATAGAGAGGGCGAGAGAGAGAGCGAGCGAGAGAGGGCGAGAGAGGGAGAGCGAGCGAGAGGGCGAGAGAGGGAGAGGGTGCGAGAGAGAGGGCGAGCGAGAGAGAGGGCGAGCGAGCGAGAGAGGGCGAGCGAGAGAGGGCGAGCGAGCGAGAGATAGAGACAGGGCGAGCGAGGGAGAGGGCGCGAGAGAGAGGGCGAGCGAGAGAGGGCGAGAGAGCGAGAGAGAGAGGGCGAGAGAGAGAGGGCGAGCGAGCGAGGGAGAGAGAGAGGGCGAGAGAGCGAGAAAGAGGGCGAGAGAGAGAGGGCGAAAGAGCGAGTGCGAGAGAGCGAGTGCCTGTGCTGTCACAGCTGCAGGAAGCAGAGCGCCAAGCTTAGTGAGAGTGACGGCGTTACCTTCGGTCTGCATGCAGTGCGGCACCGTGAAGTCGCTGGTCTTCGAGTAGAAGTCGTCGCGAGACTGCACGCTCACACAGTACCAGGTCCACGCCTTCAAGCCCGGCAGCGTCACCATGGTGGTGTTGATCCTCAGCTGCTTATGAGGCGAGGCCTGAGGGGGAGGGGCAAAGGTCAGAGGGGTAACGGCAGAGAGCATCACTCTGAGCGGACCGCCACGCACCAGCATCAACATGCAGTCAGACATCATCATCATCAGTCCTGTAATAGTCAGCCTGACTGCAGCCAATCAGGACAGACTGCAAACAGGACTGTGTGTGCGTGTCTGTGTGCGTGTCTGTGTCTGTGTGCGTGTGTGTGTGTGTGTGTCTGTCTGTGCGTGTGTCTGTGTGTGCGTGTGTCTGTGTGTGCGTGTGTCTGTCTGTGTGTGCGTGTAAACGTGACGTCTGTGTGGTTTCCTGTGAGTTTGGTGCTGAACACGTTCGTGCTCTCACAGACATGATCACTGCAGCTGATCTGTGCTCAGGAACAAACACTGAGGCTGCACCACGTCTTCATCATCATCGTCACCTTTATCAAACACACAGGCCGTACTCTCCTGAGACGCTCACGTGTCCCGTCTACTCACTCGACCGCCTTTGTACAGTCCGAGTCAGTCAGCTGACCCGAGGGGGCGGGTCCTTCTGCAGATGTGGTGGGCTCTGATAGGTTCCCGTGTTTCTGTGTGAGGCTCTGAGCTGTCTGACACGGTGGCGCCCGATTCCTCCGTGCATGTCGTGTTTGTGTGGCGTTCACCCTAATCATCGACTCGCTCATCACGCGCTCGGCTTATTTTGGGACGTGCTGCAGTGACCCGTTTCTTCCTCATCAAACCAGTTTTCAGCTCGCTGCTCAACTGCAGCCAGCTGGCAGGAAGTGCGGCAGGAAGTATGGCAAGATTCACACAGGAAATACGTCTGTTCTCCACCGAAACGTCTTGGGGAGGCGAGAATAAACACACACACGGACACACACACACACACGAGGAGAAAAGGTAACACTGAAGTGGGAGGAGCTTCCTACCTGCCCATCAGCCTGGCGCTCCCAGTACTGGACGTGGTAGTACAGGTTGGGGACGTGCTCCCTCATGGAGGTGTTGTTGCTGGTCAGCGGGTCGGTGACGACCACGTCCAAGTCGCTTCCAGCAGGAGCGAGGGTGACGTTGCTGGGAGGCCCCAGAGCCGCTAGACGGGACAGAGAGGAGATCACATTTATTCACCTGATGAGCAGGTGTTTTACCTGCTCTGACACCCGTGAGGCGGTCCTTAAACACCATGTGAC